CAAATCTGTTCTGGGTTGAGGGGGACTTGTAATATCTTGTCGTGACAAACCAGCCCTCTTCAGGTAGAGATTGTGGATGTGGAGAGGGGTAACCTCTGTCGGCAGGACGAACATCATCTCCGTGTTACCAATGTCGAGTACTTGACCGCTCTGAAGAGGGTTCGAATGACCTGCTTTCAAGGACACGCCATCCACTCGAACACCGTTTCTTCCCTTGACTTCGAGGAACCAGACCTCTTCCTTAGAACTGAAGTAAATGCGAGCGTGTTGTCTAGAGACCATTTTACTCGGGCCAAGATCGATGTGAATGAAGTCCTCGTCATCCTCGTCGACACCTTCGGCCGAGCGACCAATATTGACGTTTAATTTCGTGATGTAAAAGGTCCAATCCTGTGCGGCTATCTTGGCATACGCCTGAACGCCGTTCTTGTTGGCTTCATGCATAGAGTTCGCGTGGTCTTTGCTGGCCTGCACAGGCCCCTCTTTGGGATAAGTCAAATGCTGGACGACCTGGGAGAGTAGCTGATCATCGTCGCTGGAGGGCTGACCGGACTGATCGGCGGTGAGACTGGACTCGTCTTCGTCGGCGGGCTCGACTGGCGGCGGTTCTTCAACCTAAAAGGCAATGTTAGAGGACCGTCCTGATGTGGCGCGTACTTGGATTGGGGAAACAGGTACCTTCTTGCGACGCTTGGCCGGGCGACTAGGTGAGCTATCATCGACTCTTGCGGCGGGAGAGGTGTCCCGACGAGTGTCGCGACGTGTGCGCTGGGAGCGCTTGGCTGATGCAGGCATGATGAGGATGTGACTTTTGCAGCATGCGGCAGCTGATGGGGGAGGATCCGAGCAAGAGGAGTTCGGGGGCGCCAAAACCGGGCAAACAATGATGGGCGGCGTTGGTTCAAGTAGTCGGTCTCAGAGGGTTGGGGAATGGGGGGCGAGAAGTCGTGTCTCATAGACTCGTGAGGGCTGGTTGAACTGGACTTCGGGGCAGGAAAATGCCACCAGGAGGAGGGTAGGCGTAGGGTGTGCGTTGGATGGGTTGGTTGGCTGCGAGTAGTACGGGAGCGAGGGAGGCTGCAAGTTGGATGAGGCTTAGGTTGAAAGTGAGTTATTCCGATGCTTTGAGAAGAAAGCCAGGGTTTGGGACAACGCGAGGCGCAAGCGCAGGTGGCTCACTTTCAGGATTGGGTCGCGGTCGCAGTCGTGGCAGCAGCCGCGGTCGGATGGGGTTGATGACCACCACAGGTATGCGTCTAAAACCTGCGGGAGAAGAGAAGGGAAAAGAAAACTGATCTCTAGGCCGGAGTTTGCGATCACGAACAGTGGTAACCGTGGAGGTGAAGATGATTATTAGTGGTGGGAGCTGAGGATATCAGCCAGCGGTTGGCTTGGATTTGTGCAAGGGTTGAGAGATGCTGTCGCGAATGTCTGGCACGCGTCGTCCTTTTTGGGAGGGAGGGAGGAGGAAGGGCGTTAATTAAGTCGGGGGTGTCGGTACCAACCAAGGTGTCTAGGTGAGGTACATTTTGCCAAGGCTGATAGAGCTGAGGGAAGAAAGGTAAAACAGTGGCCTGTGACGGCATGCTAAGCCTCCCAGTGGCTATCTGGACTGGCCAGCAGGTACCTACCTGCCCGGGCTGAAGTAAGGCAACCTACTTGAGATACCTCCACTACTAAGTACCGCCAGGTACTGAGTCCGGGCTGATACTGAACGTGTGCGTGCAGCGTGTGCACCTCGCTCCTCAGGAGGCTAAATTACTTGCATTGTGCGCGAAAAAGGTGTCAGGTTCCGTGCATCGTGCCCACACCTCACCCATTCGCCGCCCTGCCTATGCAGTTTCCAAACCCCATAACAGCTTTGCGCGTATAGTGTGCATTGACGGATAACATACACAGATTGCCGATCGACTGTGGATTTCTCACAGCCCGTGAAGCCCTGTCCCGTGGCCAAGGTTGAATCATCAAAGTCCATCGCATCGCAGGGTGGTGCGATGGAATTAGGAACCAACATCCCGTCAGGGGGGGAGAATATCTGCCATCATTCCAGACCCTAGGGCGGCGCACCGCAACGTCGCCGTGCTCTATCCCTAGAAATGGCGGTGGTGCGCGCGTTGTTGCTCCCTTATTCCGCCGAGTTGCGTTGGATTGTTGATACCCAGTTCAATTCTTATTTTGTTTTATTCTTGACGGAAAGGGGAGGAGGTTGTCACATCCACAACCCATACACGGGAAAGTAGACAGCTCAATAAGTCACGTAGAGATATCCAAAACCCGGCTGGGCTGTGTGGCGGATGAAGCGCGATAGAGAATCATACCGGGGCAGCAACCGATCCGCGTCCTTCTAGGTCCTATGTAAGGTAGTACCTTACCTCACATATTCCCGCCCCCACCCCCACCCCCACATCGCCCGCATCGAATTGAATATCACATAGGTACATGTAAAATGGCATTGCAATAGACATACTTGCGCTACACACCTTGGCCAGACTTTATCAAAATGCACGAGATCATCACTCTGCAACTGGGCGAGCTGAGCAACTACGCAGCGACTCATTTCTGGAACACCCAGGTTCAGACCCCAGCTTTCTACACCACCACTTTGCTCGTCGGTCACTGACTCGACTCGTTTCTTTATCAGGAATACTATTTCACCTACTCGGCTGAGGATGAATCTCCGGTCAATCACAACGTTCACTGGCGCCCCGGTGTAGCCCTGGATGGCTCCGAGACCTTCCTCCCGCGCACCATCATCTATGACCTAAAGGGCGGCTTCGGTTCACTCCGCAAGATCAATGCCCTCTACGACGCCAGCGATGAATCTGCTCCCACCCATCTCTGGTCGGTTCAATCCATATCCCCCACCAGAACGGCCCTTTATTTCCCCAGTTCTGCTCACCTCATGACAGGGAAGGGTCGGCCCATGTTCACAAACAGCCTGAGATAGAGCAGAGTGCCTACCAGCAGAGTCTTGATCTTGGCGCTCCTGCTCCGACACTCAAACCGTCCGACGTGCGGTACTGGTCAGACTTCTCTCGCGTCTTCTATCACCCGAAGTCACTCAATCAACTATACGACTATGAGCTCAACTCGTCCATTATGCCCTTTGACAAATGGTCACTAGGAAAAGAGCTTTTTGACGGTCTGGACAGGGAACATGATATAGTGGACCGAGATTTTCGCCCTTTCATCGAAGAAGCGGACCAAACGCAGGGCCTACAAATCGTCACCACCATCGACGACGCCTGGGGTGGCTTCGCGACCGAGTACATCCAGCGCCTACGGGATGAATACGGGAAAACTCCCATATGGGTTTGGGGTCTGCAGGCACCTGCTCCAGGGCTGATGATTGTGAGAGCCCCCAATCTAGATTCTCGGGCGGCTTCTTCGTCCTGGCAACCAGACTAACCCTATCGCCAGGATCAACGACGCACGCAAGCAGCCAATACTGCGAGAACCGTCAAGGACCTATGTGAGCATGCTTCTATGATGGTGCCCTTGGCACTTCCTCGCGGCCGACTGCCCTCCAACATCAACCTGAACATGCAGTCTCTCTGGCATACTTCAGCCCTGCTTAGTACTGCCATAGAGACGGCCACTATCGCGTCGCGTCTGGGTTCTCAAGTTGATGGAAGTAGCCCTCAGGCCTCACTTGGTGATTTAGTCAGCGGTTTGAACCTGCAGGGTAGGCAGACTATGAGCAGGCTTCAGCTGAGCGTTACCGGGCCGAAATCAACCTCGAGCGCGGCAATAAACCATGCAGACGACCACATCAAGCTGGACGTTGACTTTTTTGATATCCTGAGATCAAAATCCCTGCCCCGCAAAAGAAGCCTTGAGGAATCGGCCAGCGCGCCACATTTCTTTGGTCACATTATCACCACCCGTGGCCAGACACAAATCTCGGAGGATAGCAAGCAAAAATATTGGCCCAGAGCTGCCCTTGTGGAGACGAGCACTCAAAGGTAAGAGAACTGCCGCCCTCTCCGATATACATCCCAACGTCAAGGAGGATTCGGCACAAGCTACCTCACTATCTAGATAGAGCTCACCATTGCCACAGATACCACACAGAAAAGGGGTTTCCCATGCTCGATAGTTTCCCTCACATCTATCCAGACCACAGCGACAAGACCTCCCCAGACACTTTGGGCACCATAGCGAGCCTCTCCACGGACACATCCGTGTCTGCAGCAATGAAAGAACTGCGCATAGCTGTTGCGTCTGCCATCGGCGTGGAGGATCGTGAGGATATTAGCAACGAGCTTGCCGATCTCGCTGAAGCATACCGTGAGGGTTGGTCGAGTGGCAGTGACGACGACGACGACGACTACTGATAGAGATCTCGAGCCGACACATACCAAAGAGACGCAGCGAATCTTGACTTCATGTCTAGTTGGATGTTGCACAATTCAAACCTTAAGAGATGAGGGTCAACAACCACAAGTGATAATGCACAGTCTATTCGTGAAGCTGCGGAATATCTATTGTACAATTACTCAAGCGCATCCAGCCACCTGAGGGTAGAAGATACTGACTGCAATGCATACAAACCGCATGCTTCCTTCACGCCGATTTCATGGGTGCCAGTTCTATTCCTGGATTGCTCTTTAGTAGTCTCCGCTCGTCCGAGTGGACTCACGTCGAGCGACCATCGGCGAGTAACATACCAAAGTCCACGATACGTACTGGTATTTTTGATTCTTTTCTTTTTTCTGGGGGTGGTTGTGGGGTGTGTCGGCTGGGTGAAGTTTTCCTCGACAAGTAGCGCGAGCATCCTGACTAGTTTTGCATTTGTCGTTTGAAGCCGTCCTATGGTGCCGCAGTTGACCCAGCTGGAGTGCATTTGTCATTCCTTGCCTGCTGATTAGTGAACTGGTGAAAGGGGTACGCAGCAAAGGCTGCTGTATTGGCATCATGCCAACAGCGTTCCCGGGTGAAGCTCAATACTTGAAAGGCCTTGATGCACGGTGTGCGATAGCATGCTCTGTAGAACACTCTCAACCGACCGCAGTCAGAGAAGCGGCCTGGCGTTTTGCTGGAGGCTGTGGAGTTTCCTAGATGACTCGTTAGCAAAGCTTGCTGAAAGGATTTCATTGGGCTGTAGCGAGCTTTCCGTTGTAGCGGCAAACTCTAGTCGTGGCAATACCTCTGAAGCACCTCGTTTCTTGACTTGCGCAGCCCCATTGGTGGCATTTTGCCTCTTCTGAGGCTTCAGGGGCTTCTTTTCGCCAGGTTCGAAGACGTCGTCGGGGAGGTTGAAACTAGATATGAATGAGCCTAGTCATTGATATATCCGGCGTGTTGCGCCTACCTTCGCACATGCTGGACCGTCAGAGAGTTGAGTGCCGGCTCATATTTATCCCACGAAGTACACAGCGACTTAAAGTTGTCTACCTGATACGATAGATCAAGCGATTTGGCGCCTAGCAAGTCAGCATTACCCACGCCCAGAAGACTTCAATAGAACCTGAAAGAAAGGATGAAGTGCTGAACACAAATCAGTTAGTGGCGACCTACCTTCGCTCAATGTAAGGCCGATATAGTGCGTTGTAGTGTACACGTCGGTCAGAGGCGAACGTGGTTTGCAGTCCTCCAGCTTGACCTGATGCTCATCCTCCAATTTGAGCTTGTCCCCTTCGGTAACCTCCTTCTTTGAGCCCACGTCCGTATCAAGCGCTTTAGCTTTAAGCCCGGGAATGCCGTCTGTCTCGGTCTTGAGATCTGGAATTCCGTTCAGCTCAGCTTTGGTTTCGAGCTTCTCTTCCTTCAAAGCACTCGCGTCGTCCGTGGCCTGGCTGTCTTTGACAAGGAAATCCAAGCTTCCTGCCTGGATTTGCTGGACCTCTTCGTCGCTCGTGCATCTGTGACGGCGCTCGTAGCCCTTATTGAACGCATGTGCCAATGCTATAGACTGATGCTGCTCCAAGCCCTGGACCAAGACACGAACTTTTGACTCGACGTAACCAGACCATATCTTGTGGGCTTCTTTGTCAGTACTCGCAGTGATGACTGAAATGTAGTATTTGTATCCCTGGGTGAAGAAGGTATGCTTCACAAACAGATCACTCCACGGATTCTTGCCAACCATGATGTTGTCTGTAATCTCGCAACCTCTTGTCAACTCCTGTTGGATGACTGTCATGGCAGATCGTGTGATATTGTAGGTCGCACACATGGAAGGGTAAGCGGGGGTGATGACGGGCATGAGGTGGAATTGATCCCCTTTATAAACCTAATGCGAGGGTTAACAGAGGTCCGAAGACAGGTTTGAACCAGGCTTAAAGATTTCCAACCGACCTTGGGATTCCAGACGCGAACCTGCAAAGGACCACCTTCCACATTCTTCAGCAGTACGGGTTGCGGCCACGGCCAACGGCGCATGATGTGGAAGAATTTGTTAACGATGACAGAGCTGGCGGCCTTCGGATACAGCTGGCAAACTCGAGCGACAAGCATCGCCCATGCCACACCACCGGGGAAGCCCATGATGTTGGCGTAGATTGCGCGTCGCTGTGCCCAAAGTTTGATGGCGCGCAGTGCTAACTTGAAGGTAGCCTCTTCCGGTACAAGACTTAGAATCTCGTCCGTAACACGCGTACCATTCAAGGAGCGAAGTTCTGCCTCGTCTAAACCTCGAAGCAAGCCGGAGTCCTGGACATTGAACTCCTTGGGCAGCTGCTTCAGCATGGCAATACGGGAGAAAATCAAGTCGATGCTGATGCCAAAAAATTCGAACTTGATAATGGGGACGAAGGCATCCTCCACCACTGCCATATCCGTTATTGCGTCGGTCGGGGCCATTTCCTTGAGCAGACCGGGGAATATTTCGAAGTAATCGGACCGAGTAACGTACTTGGGGGCGACGACGAGAGTATCGATATCGGAGCCGGGGCCGTAGACGCCCAGGCGAAAGCTGCCATAGGTGAAAATCTGGCCTCTCGCATCTCTAATGAGAGCCTCGTTTCCTTCTTCCCTTTTGCGAGCTACTCTTTTTACGAATTCGTCGCAAATCTGCTGCAGGTGGTTGATGACCTGGTACCTAGATTCGCCAAGGAATGTGTTAGATTGTCGTGCTAGCACGGGCCGACTCGAACGGTTAAATTGCTTGCCTTTTGGCAGTCTCTGCGGGACTTTCGAATGTATTCTGCTTCTTGAGTTCCTCAATGAGTGCCTCTTTCGCCTGGTTCTCCAATTCCGTCGGAAGGGCTGTGGAGATGGGCGGCGTTACGCCGTAAGCTCTTTCTTCGCTGGCCATGCCTAGGTGCTACTTTCTTCGCGACCGATACGCGAAGAACGTCCAAGTCGAAAAACGTGGATAAGCGGAGCGGCACCTGGCCCAGCAGCGAGAATGAGGCGATGAGGAGGAAGGGTTTGTCGGAGAGAAGGATGCTCTAGGTAAAAGCAAACAGACGAGGACTGATTCACGGCAAGGCAAAACCAGCCTGGCGAGGTAGATGGTAGGTAAGGTAGTGGATGCATCCGTTGGAATATGGGACGCTGGAGAAAGTGCAGGGGAGAGTGGGAGAGCGCACGACTGTAGACGCGCGAGACTACAGCAGGCCGTGGCGCGTCAATGGCGCTAAGGCTGCCGAGTCCCTAAGGTCCACTGGGGAGACTTTATATGCAAACTGAGTACTGCGGCACCCGCGCCTTCACATCAAACCTTAGGCACCTTAGGTACCTAAGTACCTACCTGTACCTCCCGCAGGTTCATACCTTCCATAGGTAGTTACTTACCATAAGCACCTTAGTGAGTAGGTAGGCACCTACCTACCTTAGATTCTACATACCGGTATCATACACCTTTCACGCTCTGGAAGTTAGCTCAGTACTTGCAACTTCGTTATATGGAAAGAATCGTAAAGATCGCTTTTTCATTCACGCATACGCCACATTAATAACAAGGTTGGTGATGAAACATTTTTAACGCGATATGAACAAGGCAACCTCTGCAGGCAGCTAGTTGCTTGTTCGTCTCCAAGAAAGCCTTATCCTCAAATCAGCAGCCATGCCAAACCACCGAGTATGCCGACGCCACCAACCATTTCCAGGGTGCCCTTCCACCGAAAGTCCCTGAGTTGTAGCAGGCCTAGGGGGTCCTGTTCCTTCACCAGCACATCTGACCCAGAACTGTGTCTTCTTTTTCTGAGCAAATGTGGTCGTCCCCGAGTCCGTGCCAGTGCCATTGATGAACCTCTGTCATCTGAAGGCAAGTCTACCTCTCTCCATGTCCCTCTCAGCCACATAGATGCCTGCTCTCGCGATCTTCGTTCTTGCATTAGCCGTTCCCTGACCAGACTGCGCTGTAAATCTGCAGCCCAGTTCGTCAGTTGGAGGCGGCAGAAGCGCTCCTCGTGCTGGCTGTGGTTCGACACGCGGCTCACAGTGAGAGGGGTCGAAAAATTGGTCCTAGAGAGAAGCATTCTTCTCTCTGATGTCGAACCCGTTTGTGCTGCGATGGCGAAAGACGCGTTGCCCGTGGCAGCGTGCCGACAACGCCAACCAAGTAGCTTCTTTGCCGCGTTGTGACGCAAGCATGCGGCCCCGTCGAAGCTGAAGATATAGCTCACAAGGCTGGAAAGGTCCGTCGGTACTAGAGGTTGAACATATTCCGGACTCATTAGGATACTAGCATCCATTAAATCGTCGTCTGTGCCGGTCTTGCTAGAGATTGCGAAGATGTTCAACGTTCCTGCCGCACCCAGACCTTGTGAAGTAAGTGTAAAAAGGTCAAGACCGGCATCGGCTAGCTGGCGGGAAACCCGTTCTTTGCCTTTTGCCATCTCACCCGCTGTTAGCAAATCTGCCTGCGCCAGGAGAGGTATGACGTTTGTGAGCGACTGAAGCTGGCGAATATAGTGCAGGTCGGTCGAACTGAGGCCTATACATGTTCAATCATAGATGCCCGCAAAAGTTGGCTTACAGACTCACCTGAAGAGGAAATCATATAAAGCACGGCATCTACAAGTAGACCACCTCCTCCACTCATGGTCCTTAAGACATTGGAATCATCGAGATCGTCGAGTCGACTTTTGTGTAAGTGTGATTCGACGTAGTGCGAAACTTGCTCAACAGTATCGAACGGCTGAGATGTCAGCATTCGTAAACAGGCTACGATACGAGCTGGGATGGCATACCCGACATGTTTCCTGGTAACCTGGCGTGTCAACAAAGCAGATGTTCCTGTCTAGAACCCTGTCGCCGGCAGTATCAGAACCAGATAGAGAACTGATCGAGGTTGGTTCTCTCCACCACTGGGGATACGGCTTTGTACTGGCGAGTGTTTTAGTAATCTGAAAGGTGCCCTGGGCCATTGGAGGGTCGCAGGGAAGCGTATTCATTGGCAGCAGTCCGCTGGATGCCATGGCGATGGGCACTGTGGGATCAACATGCACAACGTGAGGACATGACTGCGTGATAGCTCTGATCAAAGATGTCTTCCCGAGACCTGAGGTTTGATCACAGTCAGTATCCATTTTCAATCCCTCGGTGGAAGACATGGGCGTGTACCTGATTTGCCCGCCACGAGCAATTTAAGCCTCCCCAAAGATTTTCCAACTTCAGTAAAAGGTCGTCGGCTGGGGACACTGATTGTAGGCATTATGAACTGTTGGGCACCCTCGCCGTTGTACGAGCTCTGAGCTTGACCAGACTCAGAGGCACCGAAGGCGCTCATGACGAAGCTCTCTTGGTATTCGGATAGCGACCCTGCCAGCGAGTTTCGTCGAGAGGAGGAGCTGCTTATGGCGGAACATGGACCGGAGACGCCATAAAGGATGGGTGTCATGGGTTGAGACGATGTCGGCGGCGGAGGTGTCTGTATTCTCGTTGGCGACCTATTGCTTGGGACTGGAGGTCGGTTCTGTACGGCTTCACGAGGTTGCAACGTGGATGTGAGGTTAGGACGGGGAGCAGGCGCAGGGGGCGCTGCACTAGAATCACGGCTCGACGAGGTGCCGGCAGGAAAATGGTTGTGTATTGGATGTTTTCGATCGCGAGCACGAGGATGGTTGTGACAAGGCGATGGTAAGGCTGTTTCCACGGCGGTTTCGTCTGCAATGATGAAGGACATTTGAGGAGCTGAAGACTGCGATGTGAAGCGATCGGTAGCTCCATCACCAGACAAAGCGTGCCCCGAGAAGGTGCTGCTGCCAGGAAGAGGGCGCATTTTGAAGCCGGCTTATCATCAGTCCAAGCTGATAAAGCAGCAGCTGTGTATTTGGAAGAGATGGAGTGTTCGTGGAATCAGAACGGGCGATATTCAGACGCAACCTAGGAGGTTGTCGGGAAGTCTGGCAGCATGGTCGTTGGTGGATGGAATGGATAGTAGATAACGTTCAAGTCGCAAGCTGATAAGAGATTCGGTGGGCCTTCGAAGGGGCGTATGACCACATGCGCACTCCTCGGGCAGGTAGGGAGTGTGGGGTGTTGGGGTGGACCATTGCTGACATAAGCCCGCCTAAGAAGCCCAATCTACAGGTAGCTATCTTACAGTGTGGAGGTAGCACGTGCAAAGCATGTATGGGAGCCGACAGCACCGTGTGAGTAAGACATTCACATTTGGGGGCGCTTTCTACTACGTAGTAGGTTCCATTTACCTTAGGTATGATGTCGGGCAGACTGCCTCCATAGGTGAGCTGATCCAGGCTTTAACCGACCTGCTGCGGCTGCCCGCTTCATTTTACCCCTCCATACCTACCTAGATTAGAGGCTGTATGCTGTAGTCCCGGCAGGTCCCCTCATCGTCACTCGTCCCTCCCTAGGGCCTGACTCACCAGGCGGACACGAAGCCCCCCATCGACAGCCGCCGTATGCAGCAGCTACCTACCCACCTTACCGTCTCGTCCCATCTCAATCACTACTTCTACTTAACGACAAGCCGCTTTCGCATCCATCACCACCACACATTCACGCATTTCTTGCTTCCCCATACAGCCGTACAGACACAGCCTCGTGAGGCTTCACTTTACAAAGAGCAAACGGAACAAACCGCGACTGTCAAGTGCACTCGACTTTTCTGTGTACCAACCCGAGACGCTGATTTCCTGGCTGGTACCGTCAAGAACCACTCGTTTTCTTCTTTTCGCCTGCGCGAGCAGTTCCTTTCGAAGATACCCAACCACAGATCAGCTCGCCCATTTCGTACGAACGCTTTCGATCATCATCGGACATGGACGGCAAGAGACATCCGAGCTCCTTCCAGCAGTTAGAGAAGCTAGGCGAAGGAACCTATGCCACAGTACGTCCGTTTAGCACTCCAAAATTGTCTCCTCCTCCGCTGACACTTGTCATAGGTTTTCAAAGGGCGCAATCGCCAAACGGGAGAGCTCGTTGCTCTCAAGGAGATCCACCTCGACTCGGAGGAAGGTACACCTTCAACAGCAATCCGAGAAATCTCCCTCATGAAGGAGCTTAAGCACGAGAACATTGTCGCACTCCACGATGTCATCCATACCGAGAACAAGCTGATGCTGGTGTTTGAATACATGGACGGCGACCTCAAGAAGTACATGGATACCCACGGCGATAGAGGGGCCCTGAAGCCTCATCAAATCAAGTCATTCATGTACCAGCTCTTAAGGGGCATCGATTTCTGCCACCAGAATAGGGTTCTGCACCGAGATCTCAAGCCGCAGAATCTCCTCATCAACGGCAAAGGGCAGCTAAAACTTGGCGACTTTGGCTTGGCTCGCGCATTTGGCATCCCTGTCAACACTTTCTCCAACGAGGTGGTGACGCTGTGGTATCGAGCACCAGATGTTCTTCTAGGTAGCAGGACATACAACACCAGCATCGACATATGGTCTGCTGGCTGCATCATGGCAGAGATGTACACTGGAAGGCCCTTGTTTCCCGGAACAACAAACGAGGATCAAATCATCCGCATTTTCCGCATAATGGGAACACCGACCGAGCGCACGTGGACCGGCATCACGCAGTTCCCTGAGTATAAGCCGACGTTCCAGATGTATGCCACTCAGGATCTACGCCAAATTCTGCCACAGATTGATCCAACTGGTATCGACTTGCTTCAGAGAATGCTCCAACTGCGCCCCGAACTTCGCATCAGCGCGCATGAGGCGCTCAAACACCCCTGGTTCAACGACATTGTGATGCAGCAACACCAGCAACAAGCCTTGCAGGCGCAAGCCAGAGCTTATCCGGGCCAGGCTTCGTACGACGCGTACTGATAGCGATGGGTAAAGTTGACTCGTTGGTTACGATTTTCGAGGCGTACGGTCTTTGGTTCCAAGGGAGAGTTTCTGAAACTTCGTTTTGGCATTTCTGGCATAGTCGGATACAGCGGGAGGCATCTCGGGGCCTTTGGTCTTCATTTTCCATTGCCTGTTGCAAGACTCTTGTGAAGCAGGTCACAAGTCTGAGGGCACATAAAATTATCGTAACAAGCGCATTCAAGCAATACAGGTCGACCAGTGGACTCCTTTATTCTATTGCTTGTTCTTATTTTATTTTCAATAAGAACCCACGGGGCTGAATTACGTATGCCGCTAGTTCCTTGATATTCATGTTTTCTAGGAAGCGCAACCACCTATTCCTTACGGACCAAACTGTCATCGACGGGACTTTGGAAATGCTTTGTCTTGGGCTCTCTTTCCCAAGTTTTTGCGAGCGCGTACGAATGGTCATCATCCGAGTAGCCAGCCTTGAGCCTCAGGTTCTGAACCATTGCCCTGACAGTTTTGGCGACCTCTATGCGTAGTTGAATAGCCTCGGGGTGATCTTTGAGTACTTCAGGTACCTCGCCAGCGTTCAATGACCTGCCTAAAACCTCCTCTTGCTTTCGTACCATACGCTTCCATTTTGAGCGTGATTCCCTGAAGACTTCATCGACATCGACGGCGCTGCCGTAAATGACTCGAATCTTAGCACCGATGCGCGGCAAAAACCGTGGCCATTCTCTGTCCTCTGGCATGATGTTTTTGAATCCATCGATGAAGATGGGTACCAGCTGAGGGGCAGGGTCGGACTCGAGGATCAACCGTGACACTCCCCATTTGAAGTATCTCAGGGCATTCTGAGGATGCTGATGTACACATCCCTCCGGAAAGACATGAACCCACGCGTTATGATTAACGCCGTAAAATGCGGGCGACTGGAAGTTCTCGTTGGCACCAGCCTTGAAGGTGGCGCCACGAGTGTACACAGAGCCCGGACCGGAGAGTATGCGGATAGCCTGGGTCATGGTTGGCTGGAATAGCCCTCCGTGGGGAGAATGCAGCATTCGGTAAGTCGGTAGGACTTGACCAAGAGTGAAGAAGGTCGTAAAGAAACTGGAGCATGAGTGAGTTCTATATTACCAAGACTCGTGGTCGAGAGGGGTTGTTATAGACCTATTCTTGAAGCAGATGTCGTGAGCTCCCAAGCTCCAACGACTGTTTTCGGGGATCATATTGTACCTGAGTGGCAAGACTCCCCATATCAGGGGGTCGTCCAGACTGCGGTTCCGAGATGCATCAGCTTGACGCATTCGCTACGAAAACCACACAAGTCAAACCCACACGCTGATATGATTGGAGACTGCGTGAGGTAACCCATTATCAGCGGATCGCGTTCTTGACCAAGAGGGGGGTTGCGGACGAGTGTGGTTGATAGAAAAGCATAAATACCGGTGATCAGACCACGATCGAGATGGCCAGCACGACGCTTGTCCAAGAGGCCCAGAAACTCGGCTTGACCCTCCGTCTGGACATCGTTGAGGGCGTACAAAAAGACTCGAGAAATTGCTCCTGTCAGGGTCATGACAGCTGCTGATGCCATGCGCCATGGCAAGCTGGGCCGATCTGGCACAGCCTCGGTGGCCGCCATATCTGTTTCGCAGACAACAATCTGCCGGACGGCGCCGCTTTCAAATTGATGGAATAAAGCCTCGTAGGAGAAAAATTGGAAACTTAGGGGTACGGAGTGCTTTTGCCTGCACTGCTCACCTTGCACCTTTCAGGAATGTCTGCAGAAGAGGCAACACGCGTGGCGTACCGGGTGACCAATGCCTAAAGTGTCATGCACCAAATCCCCCACCACGGACTAAACTGGGACAATGCAACCGGGAGCGACCTGAATCTCATTCAGTCTCGTCGCAGCGAGGCGAAGCAACTAAGGGCCAATGGTACCCGAACGATCCTTGATGAAAGAGAGCGAGGGAATGACAGGCAAAATGGGCGTGAAAAACCTGGGGCTCAACAAACGGTGGATCGCTCTGATGCATTCGCCCCGTTATTAGAAATATCAAGCCTCATCAATGCATTATGATTTTATCCCGTCGTTCTATGGAGACCTACCCCTGTCTGCTTTGAATGCCCACTGTCGCGACACGGCTTTTTACCTTAATTACTATCCTACGGATACTGCGCCAGCAACTTCTTGAGTGGGCACTAGGTAGCCAGGCACCTGGTTGAGCTTCTCGTTCCTTCAGCTTTAGCTTCTCGGAGCTTACTTCCACCTTTTGCCACATCACTTGTGCATACCTCAAGTTACCCCAGGAGAAATTGCAACGTAGGCATTCCCGTCCTCTCGAAAACCAAACAATTCGGGGGAAAGGCATTAAGAAACGGAGTTCGACGGTGAATATGGCTCACAGTAGGCGCAAACCCATGACCAAAATATATGCCCTACCCGATACTGACATTTGCCAGGCAAGAGAAACACTTCGCGCAGTGTTTTCACCTCGCACGAACGTGACCTCGCCAAGGCTGCATGGACCTCTACCTCTGCCCGACTTAACAGAGACTCGTTCCTTCCCTTTGGCTCTTGTTACCTCTGCCTCGAGATCGCCAGGGACCCGGTTTCATGCAGCCATGGCGATGTCTTTTGCAGAGAGTGCGCTGTTGCGAACCTTTTAGCCCAAAAGAAGGAGATCAAACGCCTAGAGCGTGCGCGAGAGAAGGCCGAGCAGGAGATCCACGAGGCTCTTGCTCGTAAAGACGCAGAAGCTCAGGAACGTGCCATCAAGGAGTTTGAGATGCTACAAGCAGGTTTGAACCCTGCGTTATCTTCAAGAACAGCGGCGCCATTGTCTTCATCTTTGACATATGAAAACGAGGCCGATTCTGGGTCTATCACGGCAAAGGTTGGCTCGAAAAGGAAGTTTGTCTTGGATCAAGAAGAGCTGGAGAGAATAGCAGAGGATGATCGCACCAAAGCCAAGAAGTCAATTGAGTACGAAAAGGTCAAAATCTTGCCACAGACCAAAATTTTCTTGTGCTGTTTTTTTTTTAACTTTCTCTTAGGCCTCCAAGGAGTCTCTGCCGTCTTTCTGGACCCCTTCCCAAACTCCCGATGCCGAAGCAGCCCGAAAAGCAGCAATCGTCATTAAAAAAGCCAAAATTAATCCCGTCTGCCCTGCATCGCCCGATGACTCTCAACATCACTACTCTCTCAAGAGCCTCATACAGCTGAACTTCAAAGAAGAAGCCGACACAGGTGCGGATGGAACGAGACGTATCTGCCCCTCCTGTCTCAAGACTCTTGGCAACGCTTCGCGACCACAGCTTGCGGAGAGTTGTGGCCATGTAATATGTCGAGGCTGTGCGACCAAATTCATGACCCCGGCCAAAGGCAACAATGCTGCGGAGCAGGAGCATGCCTGCTATGTCTGTGACGCAAGACTCGCGTCCAAAGGCTCAAAGAGCAAGCCAAGACAATCAAAGCAAGAATTTCCTGGGCTCATTGAACTCAGGTCTGAGGGGACCGGCTTCTCTGCGCGCGGGGCGAACATGGTAGAGAAGACGGCTGTCGCCGCCTTTCAATGCTAGAGAGTAATGACGGCATGCAGACTTGAAGCTGATGACAGTATCGACTTGATGCAAGCAGGGCACGATGTATCATAAGAAGCCAGCCGTATCGGATCAAGAGCAACCCCGATTCTATTGTCATGTGGCTATAGCCTTGGCGATGGTCCTGGACGGGGGCGGAGTGGCCGCTTAAACCAGCCTGAGGACCATCTGCCGAAGACGCTGCATTTGTGACCTCGCAGCAGGCGACTTACTTCGCAACAAGATCACTATGAAAATGCCCAAACGGAGGACCAGCTTGTGAATGATGCCCTTGGATACCATGGTTAGCCCATGGCTAAAAAAGCTCTTCAGCACTTCGCCCTGGAGACCCGCGTGCAAGGCGGTGATGCCCTCGGCTCTAGCGATAGACATGACGAGAGCGAGAACGCTGTATTCGGCCATCCTCTCAAGCTTGCTTCGCCTATTTTCATTCGATCCACAGGAAGCGGGACTTTGCGGGTCTTTCTCGAAACAGCTCCCCACGCTATCAGTGCTTCTCCGGGGCGAAGGACTCCCGGAGCATCGTATTTGTAACCTTGTCTTGGCGGTCTGTAGTGGATAGCTGATCGTGGTAGCAATGGCTTTGCTAGCGGCAGCAACGAGAAACGTCGTTTGGGTATTATATGAAGCCTCGTCGGAATCGGGCTGAAGGGTCTTGGCCAACTTGTCATTCAGGAAAAAAGTTATGCTTGGGTTGATGGTAAGGAGAAGTGATGCGGAATACCCAGCCCAGAGCCCTCGAATACCATTCTCGGCGCGAATCGCTGCCATGATTCTCCATATAGATAAAGTATGCTCGTCGTCTTGATCTTCCATCATGGCCGAAGTCTGTTTTCTCGTCACGACGTTGGCAATGGGTGTTGTACAGGCTCTCGCGCAGGCGCCCGCCAGCGCACCGACGAATAGCTGCTCGATAGCCGGCAGCTTGCTTCCGCGGGCGCGACGGCGGGTGTCTTTGAAGTATGCGTAAAAGAGGAAGAACAAGAAGGAGTCGGTGACCGACTTGAAGATATCCTGTGCAAGCCCCGTGTAAAGCGCCGAGACGCCTTCCTGCGTCACGACCGTCTTGAGTGCATCGAGGACACCGCGGTACTGCTCCTTCTTGGATATGGAGTCTTCTCGCCTCAGCTGGCGCTGCACTTTAAGGCGCGTCGTAACGAGATCAAGAGGGTATACGGCCGCTGTGGAGAAGGCTGTTCCTGTAGCACCGGCGAGGGCATGGCCGAAGGCCTCGAGAACGCCTGCGGGCATGGTGATGCGTGGGACAGCAGAAGGCGGGATCTGCAAGACGACGAGTACTTCAGCATGTGAGAAGATGAGTCTATCTTGACGTCGCGGATCAGAGTATAGGCTCGGTGAACCCTGCACAAGCAATCGCGCGTTCGTGGTTCAGCTTGTTGCAAAGATGCTATGCCGCGTCGTCCTTCTGAATCATTTCCTAAAAAGAAGCTAATGCGTGGAAACTGGCGGTGGAAGCCATATACTAGCAGATTGTTTTCGTATCTACCCTCAACAAATCGAGTTGAAGTTGGAAGAGGAGCACGCATTGCCGAGGTCTCGTCGCGCTGCGCTGAAGTGGCTGGTTGACCTTATTAGCGCTAATCCGGGGTGGCTTAACGACGTCATTAGCGCGGTCGCTGTTGACGGCACTCACATGTGTGTAATCCTGTACCGCCTGAAGTTGGAAAGAGGCCCCACCTTGCCATGTGATCCATCACTCATAGATGTTTTCTCCCACCTTTGCTACAAAAGCGTGAAGTCTTCGTGTAAAACAAACTGCTACTCAGTGAGACTCAATGAGGGCAAGTGGTTTCAAGACGAACATGTAGGCGATGAGCAAATGCATAAGAATGTTCTTCGGGTCACCACGAGTAAATTTTCAAGATACTCTTTGGTTGAGTTCTTCGAGGTGGACCAGGTCATGCGTGCCCATCTACACCGCAGCTCCGATACTCAGTATCCACGCTCAATGCCTGGTGTCAAGCTAGAGCCAGACGTCCGACGACCAAAACGCCACTGCCAAACATCCCAAAGTTCCAGTCCTAGACAATTGGTATACCGCGAAACCCAGACGCCTCCCTTCCCTTTTATGAAATGCACGAGTTCCTGAGCCTCCCAAGCCGCGAAGCCAGTAACGCATCTGCAAGACGCCGAATGATCCGACATTGTCACCCCAAACCGGGGCGCCCGTTTACCTGGTTTCAAGCCCTGCTTGTTACCGACTGCCTACGCTGTGGCTGCCCCTGCATGCTGAAACTTGACGATCTTCAAGAAGCGCCAAAATTGGCGACAGAAGTATCCGGCTCTCCTGGTGCGTCTTCTCCATCAACTAACCCTGGGTGGCCATCAGGCAGTTTTTGGGCACCTAAACCTACAACCTTGAAAATATTGGTTCGGCCACCGTTTGTTGCCATTTGCAGCTGCTCGTGAAGACGTGCAAGCTGATAATGTCTCTTGATTGGGTTTAACACTGGTTGCGGCACTACGGGCTGCGGGTTCCAATGCGCCAGCGCGCTCATGACGGCTGCTGTTTCCTCGTCGGAGTCCACAGGTCCCGCATTGGCTTCGTCCTCATCCTCAAGCGGCGCGTTGGCATCGAGCGCAGCCTCTACAGGTTAGGTGAAAAGTAAGCAAATCGTCAGTTATATGTAGGACCCGTTGGGTAGACTTACTCTGTTGCTTTGCCTGGTTCTTCTTCTGATATGCAGCAAGTAGCATGTCGTATGGTAAAGATCGTCCCGCCACTGCACGTTTCGCGCCCATGCTGTGGCTCTTACAGGTCAGTGATCTCGCGCATGGCTGACCATTCGGCAGCAGAACACCACACTGCCGCTCAACATCAACAGGTCCTTTAACATGTAAGTATGCCTGCCTCCATGTGACTGATATGTGGGCAATTCATACCTTTCGGCTTGGGGGCTTTGGGTTTCGGTTCCTCTTTTTTCTTTTTCTGTTTTGGCCCCTTATCCGCATCGCCATCCGCTTTGCGCTTTTTCCCTTTACCCGCTTCTCCATCTGTCTTTTTGCCTGCGGCCTTCTTGGCGGTCTTGTTTCCGGTTGCCTTTTTTTCGGCGCCATCGTCATCACCATCGCTGTCGTCTTCACCTTTGCCGTCACCATCCTCGTCAGCCTTTCTAGCTTCTTCCTCTCTCGCAGCCTCTTTGGCTCGCTCGCGAGCTTCTCTCGCCTCCTTCTTCCTCTGAGCCTTCTCTTTCTTCAACCTTAGACATTGCGCAATGTGTGCCTTTGCGGCTGTCTTGAGAATGCTCTTCTTGCAGTGTTTGCATTGTTGCAGATCAGGGCTGTCCTCGAGGGGTCGACCGGTCGCAAACGCTTCACGCGCGTTATCGTCAAGGGGGTTGACTACCGGGCCTGGCGAGGCTACGGAGATTGATGCTGATTCGGAATTCTTGGACTTTTTGTCATCTAGAAGTCATCTCCATGAGCTTGGCTGCCTAACAGGTTTTATGGTGGCGATAAGTTTATCTTACCGTCGATGACGCTCCCTTCCCTCCAATTTCCGGGTTTGCTGTACTTCGGCGCGGGCTTCTTCAGCTTGATAGGTCCGTTGGATTGGTTCTTGGTGTCCTTTTTGGAGGCAACCTTGATCGTTTGCTCATCATCTGGATACGAGGCTTGGATTAGTACGTCTTCGCACTACGGGCGTAACACATAAGGCTCTTTACTCTTTTTCGATTCGGATACGGTCGCCATGATCACTGCTTCTCTGATGCAGGAGGAATACTATATTAGTCTGCTATGGGCGATGGAGTAGCTTCGCCGATGGAGGTGGCGATGCGATGCGATGCGACGGGCTGGATTGAGCGGCCTCGATGACGCGCGAGGGTGTTTTCGGAGTCCGGCGATGATAAACTCGGCCAGAAGCATCACTTCATGGCAGCCAGTGTGCGCCAGAACACCAAGGTTTCATTGAATGCGCCGGTGTCGTTCGCTAAGATGATGATGGATTGCGCAAAGGTGTGGATGATGGCAGCAGTCGGATGTCGTCGATTGATGCCTTGGCTCACCCTGGTGGACGGTGGGCAGGGTCACGCGTTGCGGCTGCAGGTCTCCGCAGTGGAAGCTCCCATAGGTTGTCGGACTCGAGTATCCGTGCCAATATCATCGGACAAATGCCGTTCGCACTGTCTCGATATCAAAAGTCACGTCGCCTACCTAATTGCTCGGACCGTCGGGAACGAGATGACATAACAGTACCCAAAATGGAATGGTCTTTGACCAAGATATAGCAAATTTCCCGTACCATTCATCTGTTGATTCATTCGAGTTCGATTCATATGACCTATCCGTGTTTTGCCAGTAAAAAGAGCCTTTTCTCGAATGCTCCAACACATCCCAATGTCTGATGCTCCCAAAATGATGGTATCACCTAGCCTCAAGTCCGAATCCCAATGCAGCACAGATATTCCCTTCAGCCCTCGAAATTTCGCAGATCATGAAAATATACCCTGTACGCCAATCGTTAAACCGTCTTTGTACTCATCACCAGTCATCTGCCAGAATGCCTGCTGCCCCGGTCCTGTGCACCGTGTCTTCGTGGGCTCGCATGGCCTCCATCATCGATCGTGCATGCAACATGCCCATATCACTCCATATAGTCTGAATGACAGCCAGCGACCATTCCCAATATTCTTTTGGGACCCCAGGAGCGCAGCCTGCTACTTTCAGGTGAAACAGTAGAGCCGGCAGTCCTGCTGATCCAGCCCCCCCTCCTCCCGGACTCTCCACGGTTACCTGCGCCGTCTCGTCTAAAACGGGGTGTCGCCAATGTGTTGGAGCGCTCACTAAGGTGTCCTTTGCAAGCTTTTGTATGAGCTCCAGGAGTTTGTCGCGCGTAGCTGCTGACAGTAAGGACAAACTTGATACAGGATTCTGATTTGCCAAGTCGAGTAGGGTCTGGTTGACCAGTATTCGGGCCCATCGGTAGTAGTTCCATATGCGAGCAGTCCAGACATCATGGTACTTGTGGTACTCACCCTGGAAGACTGCCTTCGGTGGCAAATGGGTCGCGTGGACGACACGATATTCCCATTCCCCCTTTAGCCCTGCCTCCCAAGCCGAAAGGTCAGCGTCCAGTTCCAGGAGTTGCTGGATGACATTGGCCGTCTTGGGTTTGCCGTCGCTAACAACGTGATTGTTGATGAAAGAAGATATTTCTACGAAGCGGGCGATCAGGACTGCTAGATCGGTCGAAGGAAGATCAAAAGGCATCTGTAGTTGCGATCCGTAAGAAACCCAGTCGTAGAAGTCCGGAGGCATCGGCAAGCCCGCTACGTGAAGAGGAATAAACTATGAAATTAGTATACGTCAAGCGTAGAGTGTGGGATGAATGAATTACCATCGAGTAACACAACTGCAGCAGGGCTCTAAATCCACCGAAGGGCACGCTAGGCATCGGGCACCAACTCCTCATCAATGCAGCACCACCCATTACATGGGCATGAACAGTGCCTGTTGAATGGTGGGTTCCTTTGACGACCTTTTGAACTGTCAGCACTTGCGGTTCCTCAAGCATTGTCTCGCGGATGCTCTTCAGATCACTAGCAACCTACCTCGAACATCGCTAATGCCACGACGGCCCTCATGGTTACGTCAATACTTGGTGTGTGCGGCGGACGTATCAGCTTTCCTGTCTGACGTAGCGCAGACCCATACTTCTCGCGTGCCATCGACATCATCTCAATGTTTCCCGTCAGATTGTGCAGCCCGGCAAGCCCCACGGCACACATGACATCTTGCAACGCCGGGTGCCATACCCAAGGTTCCGAGGCAAGATCTGAGGCCGATTTGACTTCATCTGGATGTCCAACGAGGTATCGATTGACGTAAAATTGCAGGCCTTGTTCCTCCAGGGTAGGACCAACGCGAATAGTCAAAGGACTCGTCTCCCGGACTGGTTCTTGTTTGACAATCGGTAACACCATCGGAGACACCGAGCCCGGAGAGCGGTGGCTCGAAGATGGGGAGACGGAGGCGGAGACTGGTGAGGCTGAAGCCTTTCCTGACCGTGATGCACTTCCGCCGCTAGTCGGTGTGCTCTTTCGGCTGTATGCTGGAGACGACGATGGCGGAGTCGGAGCAGTCGACGTGGACAATACGGCAGATCCGTTCTCGTTTTCGGAGCCCTCGGGAACACCCCATTGCGCGTGAGCTTTCTTGATCACCTTTTTTGACTCGTCTCTAAACATGAGAGACAGCTGATCTCGGTAGCCAGGGCATTTCTTGCCCACACGAATACACTGTGAGCATTCGGGCTTCACTTTATCGCACTGAAAAGGGTTCTTGTCAGCCACGATGCAGATTGCACCTGCCTGTATGAAGCGCTTATCTATTCTCAACGTCTAAAAGAGGGGGCGGCAGTAGGCTTTGAGATGGCGAACGTGCCGAGGGTGGAACGGGGTCACGCGACTGACCTTGATACGGCGAGTCCGACAGTTTTGGCAACCTTGAGAAGCCTTGCCGCAGTATACCATTCTTGCGGCGGAGAGGCTTTGCAGGCCAAGGACGTCAATATCAGTTCCTAGAGAGTCTGCTGCTGATGGCGGCGTTGATGGTGATTCGGTACGAACTGGAGCGGGCTAGGACAACTGGCCCATCACGAGCGGGGAGAAAGGCAGCACTATGCCACCCTGATGTCGAGCAATAGACCCCGCGACGATGGCAATGTGGGCGGGAACGAGAGACGGTGGCAACGAGGCCGGCGGATGAGTGTCTCGATCGAGTCCAGCGGTCGAGTTGCGTGTGACGAAGTCGAGGTGAGAAGTGACGAGAGGTGGGAGAAAAAGAAGGATCCGCAGCAGTTCCCTTTTAGGAACGCAGAGAATGACACACAAGGCAAGGTTAAGGTAGAAATTTAGTCGGCGGAAGACAAGGCAAGGCAAGGCAAGGCAAGGTAAGGTACGGTTCGGTACGAACAGTGTTGTCATTAGCTATTGGGTGGTGCGGAGAGGATTGTCAGCCAAGTCCAGGTTTAGGAGCTGTCCCAGAGTTCCAAGCCGCACTGCACTCTGCGCGGGGCTCCAATCCCAAATCCCAAGTTCTAAAAAGCAAAGGGACGGGCGCACGAGAGGGGACCAGCAGGATGGGCATGAAGGGGGGGTGGGTGCGGGCGTGGAGGCTCCCGTCGCGGATCCAAATGACACTAGACACTAGGACCGGGGAGGAGGGGAGGGGGAACAAAGCAGCTGAGTCGTCAAGGGCTGCAAGACACGGGCGGGAGATGTCAAGACTCGACGGAAAGGAAAGACTCTGGGGTTTGAATATGTTCTCTCTGAGTGAAAGGCAGCAGGGCAGTGCTGTGCAAGACAGGATGATTGCTAGTTAGGCACAGGTTGGCTACCTGAGGTAGTTCTTGGTGTGAAGGAATGCAGCTCCTGAGGAGGCGTCTTTGAGGAGGCATGTGCCCCGGCCAGTTGAAGTTGGCGATGCAGACGTCAGAGAATTGCCCCCAAGAGCCGTTGATACTCGAGGCACCCGACGGTGAAGGTACAACTCGCCAACTAGGGGGACGCCCGGCTGTTGGGTAGGTAGCGGTATGAGGTAGTGTTTAACGTCCTAGGTAGGTCCAGTGTCAGTCAGTGTGTGTGTGTGTGTGTGTGTGTGTGTGTGTGTGTGTGACTGCAGCTCGGACTTGGGGAAAGCTCCGGCATTGAGTGTTGAGCAAGGGCCTAGGGTGCTAGGTAAGGTACCTCACCTCCCAGCGGGATCCGTCAATGAACTCCGCCTCAGGCAAGGAGGGCAAGCACGCTTAGGTAAGGTTGACCGAGCCCTACCTACCAGAGAGTTTCATGTCCCCCGAAGTCAGAGGTGGTTGACGTATTTACATCAACGTGTGCAGAAACTCTGGCCCACGCCAGTCACTGCACTTGTATCTGTGACGGCGTACTTTACGGCGTATATCTTCAATTGGGACTCGGAGGCTGACAGGGCATGCGTGGAAGACATCAAGCCCACCGCCGTACCCACGCACTACAGGAGCACCTTCCGCCTCTCTGTCATTGGGTACCTCCGTCTCCGCGCGGCCTCGGACCCGGGCTCCTAGTCCGCCATGAAGACACATGCTTGCGTGCCAAACATGCTCAACGTGGGCACGATCCAACCTTGAACCATCCATATCCCAGTCCTGACTTGGTCCCCTCTATCCACAGAGCCCGGAGCGTACGTACCAACCAAGCACTAAGTCCCGCTACACTAGTGTAATAAGACCCGCGGACGTATACTTACACTACATAGAGTCATAGACAGACAGGACAAACAGTAGACACCGACACATCCACAGCCCTTTTTCCATTCACAAGGGCCAAGCACGCGGCGTTGCAAGCAGGCAATGGCCTGCAAGACCACGGCAAGTTTCTAGCGCCGTGCCTGACGGGCACCCAATCACGTCCACGACGATCTGCTGCACTACAAATGAAACTGTGGCAGATGGCAGCTCAAAGTGGCTGGACATGTCGCACCCTTCGTAAGAACCTCTCCCTGAAGACTCTCGAGTAAAGACGAGACATCGGCCCTGATTCCCATCCTGCCGCATTTATGAATCCACGATCCCATCTACGAACCGTAACTAATCCCCGACTGCTGCCCGGGCAGCCTCCTTAACGTGCACCGGCTATACAGCCCAGGTACGGCAAGTCGATAAGCACAGCGACATCGCATCGCATCGCACCGCACCGTGGCCAGAGTGGAGGTGGTCCTGCTACGGCACGGATACTTACTGCGTACGAATAGTGCATGCTGAGTTGAGAGTCGAGGAGACTGATGAGAGGTATGTCGATCGGGCTGCCTGCAGAGTGCATCATGCAGATGCAAGCATGCACGCACAATACGGACAAGGCACAGGAAGTACATACATACATACACACTACACCGTCCTTCCAGTGGTGTGGTGGCATGTCCAAATACGCAGGACCTTGGGAATAGCCAGAACGTGAAATGTCACAGTACACTATGCTCTTCTCCCCTGTTCTGAGCCCTGACTGCATCGTTGGATGGCATCGCTGGGTCTGTGGGCCTCGATACTGGGGAGAGGGGCTCTTGTTCCAGGCACCGGGACACTGTCCGTTGCTCCGAAGCAAACGAAACGAACCACCCTGCCATCCCGATCCTGGCCAACGGTTATCGTACCCTGCCTCATTAATATGTACTGCGTAGTCCACACTCCACAGGCCCGTATGTGTTGCCAAGTGGGTTAATTAGCTGCCCATGTCTTGTCATGACTGCTGACCTTTACAACTTTGACTGACTCTGGCTCAACCCACCCTCATCAACGGAAAGGCACGGAAAGGCACGGGAACAACATGGGTAATGGAGCTTGCTGTAATTTACCACTATTTCATTTTTTCCTTCCCCCTTCTGTTGTAACCCCTTTCATTACCGACCTACGATATTGTCTCTATCAACTGCCCGAACCCCAATTGACCACCAGGCCTCCGGTGCAACTCAAATTCTCTATTTCATCCCATCTGCATAGCCAGCTAGCTAGGTATTGTAGCACTTATATCCGATGTCCGGAGCCGACGTGGCGAGCAGCCGCCGCTCAGAGGTGACAACTCAACAAACCCTATCCCCCCCCCCCCCCCCCCCCCCCCCCCCCCCCCCGCCGGGGGGGGGGGGGGGGGGGGGGG